TAGCACACAGGCCTTGAGCCCATGCCCGTTTTACAGGGCTACACGGTCTCCGAAGCTTATCTACACCAAGTGTAGACGAAGAAATAATTTTCGACAAGGTAATATACGTTTGTGGCGAGATAAAATGCCTGCTATCTCGTTGAGTTTCCCGCCGTCTTGTTACCGCGGGAGGTAACTGCCCCATGATATTCCACTTCAATAATCTCGAGGTGCGCAACGTTAACGAGATTCCATATAATAGAAGAACGGCTGTGCTAGCACGCCTCCGTGAAACGACCCAAGTTTTCGGCCGCTCGTAATTCCGGATCGGGGCGCGTTTCGCCGGACGCAAGTAGGGCGGCATGCGCGATCTCGGGCGAGAGGCAGAGTCCAGGGCTCATTATCGTGTTTCCACGAATTCGAGCATCGCGACGTCCCGGAACACGAGGACGTTCGCCCGCGGTTCGTTGACCGGTGATCCGGCGCGAATTACTTGGGTACAGAACGGGGAATGGGTATCGGATGCGGGACCCGCGCGTACGACGAGCTACTTCCCGACGACGCTCACCGGTCGGCGACGACACCGCGCCAACGTTCGCCATGTCGCGGCTGCTTTTTTGGGTATCCACGACCGTTGGCCTCTGGGCGAATTTTTGGTGTTGCCGTGCGATACTGCTGTACCCTGAGAATACCTTGTTTCAGGTATCTTGAAAATTTACCGTAAATTTTTATAATACGCGTATCTTACCTCGACGGCAGAATTTACTGGGTTAACGTTTCACTCTACTTCTATCGCCTCGGGAGCAGTTTTGTATTATTATTTCGGAGCCCTTTACCTCGCCCAGTGCCGCGGGCGCTTTTTCGAAAAACGCTTCTCGCAAACGTTGCCCCGCAATCATTCTTTAGAACAAATAAGCTTGCAACAAATCCGAAGTTGTATTGTATTTTGTTAAACGTGTACGTCTACATTGAAGCTTCGCGAATCAGTTTGTTTTATGAACTTTTTAATTTCGCAGGTTCTGATAGACGACAAAAAATTCTGCCACCGGACGAACTGGCGTTTCAATCGAGTCGTAAACTATAATATTAAAATGAAATTTGGCCGCGCATATCGATGAATTGTTACGAGAGCTTTTAATTCGTTTGCTCAACAAAATATTACCGCCGTATTAAATATTTATTTGCGAGTCGTCAGTACGCTAATTAGCAGGTGCCGCTAATTGGCAAATCTCGACCAACCGTCTCTTCTCGAGAAGAGCGTTCGTATTGAGCAAAATTTCTCGCGATAATTGTGCTTAAGGGAGAGAAAATCTTTACGGGATTTAATTACATTGAAGTCTAATTAATGGCTCAATTTAGAATAATATTAAAATATTAAAACGAGGTCACATAAATAAATTCACGTTCGGATGGTTGCGCTCTCTGGCTCGCGCTTGAATGCCTTTTTGAAGATGTAATCTCGGAACATTTGCTCGACAGTTTACTCTGGGTATCTCGATGCCGGTGGCGATGACGAAACGAGGCGGCATCGCCTTCTCCTCGGGATTTCAACTCAACTACGTTCTACCGTGGAACTTGTCGCAGTTCGAACCGACGATAATTCCCGCGAGACACATCAGGGATCTCGATTTGCAGGAAACTTACGTCACCATTGAGAACCTCTTGGACGAGTAAGTTGCGCTAATCGCTCCCCGTACGTCTTCCCCTTAAAGAGCTCCGCCGTGAAATGCACTTTCCTTCGCAGCCTCGGCGGCAAGATCGAGGGGAGAACATTGAAACGTTTTACCCGCTCGCGCGCTTGTGTATGCATTAATTAAATTTGCCGAGAATGAGAGCGAGAGAGGCGGCCGGTAAAAACTCCCGGCGGATATATCAATGGTTTCAATTTGCGCGGCACTTAACGCCATCGAGATTGGCCGAACGAGCGAGTTGTCGTCCTCGTTATTCTCTTTCCGCTATTCTTTTGTTCGCCCTCGTACACGCGGCTCGGGAACAAGCGCGCGCAATTTTACTCGCCGGGTTTGCACAATGGACAGCCGGGAGATTTGAATTTGGAGCCGGGGAGAACAAATGTCGCGCATTACCGCGCAAAATTGCCCGATGAATCAATAAACTCGCGTGGACGCGCGCGAGCAAGTCGGCGTGTCTCTAAATAATTAACTCTTTATTCCCGCTATCCGGTCGCTCGTTGAAGTCGCACTTGCTGTCCAGTTACGCACTGGTTTTTCTCTAATTCACACCCAGGGCGAGACTCCAGAAGTGTCTCGTCATCAATACCGATATTGTCAATAGTATAGTCCTCAGTGCCAACAGTCTTTTAAGATCTCGTTACGCGTCACAAATTTTTCACGCTATGCATCCCGCGATATTTGATGATAGGCGGTCATTTCTGTACCTTGCAACATAGTGAAAATGCTAGAAGTGAACAGCTTGGTCTCTTTCTAAGTTAGAAAGAGACAGAGCTACTCCCTTTTAGCATTTTCACTACAGTGTAAGACACAGAATTGGCCCACAGACGTGATCAATGATCAATCTTGCCATCCACATTTTGAAAGACGATTTTATACGCAGACTATAAATTTATTAATAGAGAAAGATTTAACTAATAAGGTTTATTTAATAGGAAAACATTATGTCTCTTCCCATTCTTATTGATCAGATAAACATACGTCATTTTACTCTTTACCGAAGACTAATTCGAGTCGTTAGTTTTAGAGAGATGTTATCATTCATTGTGCTATTGTTAAATTGATTTATTACTAAAGTTCCAAATTTCATTCGACCACAACTAGCCACATTTGTTAATTAACCGGTCAATGCAGAAAATCGAATTGGCGAGTCGCCCGCCTGGAGTGCAGGGGGAGGTTCAGGTTCAAACCCTGGCTGAGGTAATATTCTTCGCAGGAAATTTTCTGCATTGACCGGTTAATTAACAAATGTCTCCAGCTGGGGTCGAATGAAATTTGGAATTTTATTATTATACTGGCAATTTGAAGAGACTAATCCTTGAATTATTACTATTATTAACTTGAAAGAGGCGCAAGAGTGTACGGTCAACAGTGCAGGCTACGCGAGACTCCGCCGGTTTTACTTTCGGTGAGAAAGGGCGTCTCCCTTCGGTCACTATATCACTCGCGCCTTCACTCTACGTAAGTGGGAGTTGCCTGCCACAGGATCAAAGGGCGACAGGGGTAAAGACGACGACTCGAACATAAATTAATTGGGACATAAGGCAATTACTCCGCTGGGATGCAGAGATAGCGTGCACTGGCGGGGACGTACGTTATAGACGAGGAGCTTGCCCCGGGAAATAACAGTAGACTTGTAACAATAATGGAAAATAATGCCCGGCAGAAAGCGCAGATTCGAAACCCCGAGTTGTTTCGTAAATGTGTGAGGGATAATTTCGAGTAACCACATTCAAGTTTCTCCGCCTCGATGTGTCGTGAAGCGTCAGTTATTTATGGTTTATGATTGATATTACATGGTTTTTCGAAGAATTAATATAATAATGGAATTAACATCAATCTTCCGGTATTAATAGAGGAAAGGCCCCTATTATGAGATAGGCTTCTAACACGAGATAGCAGATTTTCAACGTCTAAATTCAATCGCAAATCTTTCTTCGTAACGATTACACGACAGATTTCACTCCAAGGGCAATAATTTCAGAGTGAGACCAACAGATGATGCCTATTAATCTAGCAGCAACCCCGCTATCTCATATTAGAAACCTATCTCACAATAGAGGACTTTCCTCTAGTAATAAAGGAAGGGCCTCGAGCGCTTCCACATATTTATTTAACAATAGTAGATTTAAAAAGAAATTTTGATGGCGGCTGCCATGATGATTCCATCGTGAACGACGTTTATCCATTATCTTTTTCATACGTAATTCTCTTTCGTACTTGTTACGACCGTTTCTACTCTTTAAGATTCCATTGGCATGTCGCTTTAACAAAATTACCTCGGTGTAAAATTAGAATATGAAAGAAATCGCGGGACGGCGAGAGAAAGAAGTAAGAACGTTGACTCTTCAGGCACGGCTGGCGGGACGGCAGGCAGTGCCTTTTGAGGACCATCTGCGAGCTCGCGGAGACGCCCCTCCGCAGGACCCAGCAGGACGTCCTCGGGGAAGTGATCCACCTAATTTTAACGTAAGTCAATTGCGACGTTTCTGCCGCTCGCGCTTTGACTCTCCGCGAGCGAAATCGATGTACGTCCGCGCACTTCCGGAAACGAGATTTGTCACCGGGCGGGGAAGGAGAGTCGTGAGTAATGAATTCCTTTGGAAGCTTCTAACGGCCGACGGATTTGTTAGAAATAATGTAGAGGCTCTCGAAGGTATTCGCACGCAAATATACGGCTCGAAGATGTGGGTCAGCAGGGCAGGGATTCGCGTCCCATTGTAGCGAATTCTTCTCGCAGTGCGTGAAACCAAAGTTTATCTCCTTATAGACTATCGGGGCTTTCGGGACAGAGTTCTACCGAGTTTCATTCTTCTCAGCATACGTCTCCTCTTTCTTCACAGTCCCGCAGTTAACGGTTGCAAAGAAAACCAAAGCTATACACTTCTTTTTCTCCGACAAAAGGAAGATCCATTTTTTTTTCGAACATGATCTTCGGAAATATCAAGCAGCGACTCAAAATAAAAATTGAATCGAAGGACACGGGAGAATGCACGCTGCGTTAATCTTCGCGATTCTTTCGTCGCGGATGAGATTTGTCTTCGCGTGTTCGTGATACAAAAATTCGGACACTTACCGAGACTACGTCGATTTCGAATTTTTCCCAGCAATAAACGCGGCGCGCGAAAGCTCCGTCGAAACGTGAATATACAGGGGTCCCATTTCAACTTGGACAGTAAAATATCTCAAAAACTAAGCCCAGCAAACAAAAATGTTTCAGACAAAAGTTGTTCATATTAATTACTAGAATAAGTTAGTGAAACATTTTTGTTTGCTAGGCTTAGTTTTTGAGATATAATATTTTACTGTCCAAGTTAAAATGGGACACCCTGTATAGGGCGGGGTGGCGTTTACAGTTTTGAATGCGTGGCTGCGCGTATACACGCAGCTGTCTAGATGACTGTAAAATCCGGGGGGGGGGGGGGAAGGGGCCTCGTGTTCGGCAGAATCCTAATTGAGCGTCGGTCGAGCAGCAGATGGCTGTTACATCATGTAAAATATTCGCCCGTCCGGCTACAAGCCGTCCCGTAACCAGAAGCCACGAAATTTGCTATTCCAAACGCGCCCGCGTCCGCGTGTGTTCGAAGGAAATTGCGCCCGGGCTAACACCGGCGCGGTAATTGCGCGACTAAGTCTAGCGCGTACATTAAGTTTCCGCGACAGAAGTGTTTCTCTCGAGATTTTCGCCGGGCACCACCGTCTTCTTCCACCTCGGCGTCCCAGCGGCCCATCCGCGGGAATCCCTCCCGAAATAATCTAACGAAACGCCAGAGAGACCTCGCGGGTATAAGCCTCCGTTCAAGTATATTTCACAAATTAATGCCGACGAGCCATTAATTGCCGAGCATGCAAATTTCTGAGATTTCCGACGAATATCCGAGGCGTCCGCGCAGATTCATGGTCCGTCCAATAATCGTTAATGTATCGGAGGCGGGGGATAAATTAGGATACTTTACGCAAACGTGGCGAGAGATTTATTGAATATTACAGAACGGCAGACGTACGGTTTTATAGGACACGCCAATTGCGGCATTTATTACGTGCACTCTGTAAAACCACATTTTCCAAAGTCGTGCGACGTTCGTTAGAATTTCAATTTCTACCCGCCATTGGAAAATACGCCAATATGTAAACGCTGTGTATTCTAAATAGAGGAAATTAATAACTCGTGTTGTCGGGGGAATGAGCGCTTCGACTACAGAACGCTTCGAAAGATATTGGATAACGTCCGATGCGGTTGAGTAATCTAAAGCTTGACGGGAAGTGCTCGAAACGATTTAATCTGAATTTCCCTCGCAGGCCTACGGAGGACTCGCCGGTAGCAATTAATTCCAGTCACCGGAGCGCCAATGAATTGTATCAGGAAGCCGAACGGCTGGGCAGGTCTGGGGGCGATTGCGTCCTAACGTATCCCGGCTGCATCGAGTCGCCGTTGGAATCATTTACAGAAATTATATTCCCTTAGGACGCCTTACGTAATCGAATCGTATCCGCCTTCGTTCCTTTCACAGATTAAGACACCCCCGAGCCTAGTCGCGCGTGTCATTTTCGCAATGTTTATCGTGGAAAACTCTTAGGCCCGGGTTTTCGTTTTCTGGTTAACTGTTAACTAGAGGTTAGTCGACTCTCTACCTTTTTCTATATTATTATCTAAGGCCCAGTTTCACAAACGTCGGTTAACTGTTAACCAGAGTTCAGTCAACTCCCTATCTTTTTTTATCTTATTATTTAAGAGGAGGCGGGGAATCAATTAGTCTTCGGTCAGCGGTCAACCGACGTTTGTGAAACTGGCCCTTAATGCGCCCAGGCACCGCATTCTCTTCTCGGCGAGACTGCACTCTCAGAAAACGATATGGGACGGATGACATACTTTTGTTACGAGGTAAATTTGATCTGTGCGTTCGTGCGAATGCGGACGACGATGGGAATTTTCGGCTTGCGAACAGTTGCGTTTCCCGATCGCAACCAAACGAGGTTGAAAAATCGAGAAAAATGTGCTTTAAATATTGCATCAACAATTTAGCATTGTTCCTGTTTGTGTGAAAATGACACGTGTCGTTCCATTCCCGTAGATATTTCAGCTTAAGCCGTGAATGTAAAATGAAACATTTATAACGGGCTAAAAAAAATAAAATATTTATAATAAATGTGATAACCGTGTGCGGGACAATTACTCCTGATACTTTTTAAGTCCCCCATTTTGTACACTTCTTCCATTTCTACGTAATCTATAATACATTTGCATTTTGCGAGGTGCACAAAAATCGACATGTATTTGACTAAAGTATGCAGAATTCATTTGTACTCGGACGAATTAATTGTAAGCGTTTTCAGGAGTGATATTTACTTAAGACGTTATCGCACGCTGCAAATTTAAGCTAATACATTTTATTAGAAAGAACATGAAGGTACAAAATTAATTTTTCCTTTGTCTTATCTGACAAACATCTGAGCTTCTGTACTTTTCATTTTTGTATTACTGTAATTCTGGTTCTTTTACACATGATATTTTTATAGTCTTGAGATTCTGGCTACTCGGCACTTGTCTGATTTTAACGTGGCATTTTGAAGAACTTCATAGAGTTTCCTGAAATTTTACCATACATTTTATTAGTAAAAAATAATTTGAAGTAAATCTATTTACTTAGTTTAAAAAATTTTTTGTCAGTGTACATTTTACTGGTAAATGTGTCTGTATAGAACTGCGTGGTATAAGTTCTCACTCAAGAAAAAATTGCGAACAACATCCATTGGCGCGGCGCAACGATCGAGTGACCGTGTTCCGTCGCAGCCTCGCGATACCAGGGACGAAGAGAGGGTCCTAAGTAAATTTCGCTGTCGGGTCTCGCCGTGAGATAGCTTGAAGAGCGATATACGACGCCCGATTTCTTCTCGCCCACGTATCTGCCGGGGACTCTTTATCTGGATTCGTAAATACCGCGCATCCCGTCCCCGTTTCGTCCTCACACCTCCTCCCGTTCTACACGGCCTCCGCCTTATCCTCCCTTCCTCTTCCGCCCTCTCTCGTTCCCCGTATCTTCCGACGACTTTTCCTTCCGCGTGTCTCTCGCGCCATCGAAAAAGTTACGTGTCTGGGGCTTCGTGCACGGGCACGAAGGCGCCTGGCGAGAGGACGATCCGCGGAGCGGTGGAGCTTCTCCGCTGGACGATGATGGAGCGCGCCTGGTCACGCACTTTCGCGTGTGTCGGCCGCGCGCCGTGTACCGAGTGCCCTAGAATCGGCGAAAAGTGGACATAATGGTATCCCTCTGCGAGATTCAAAGCCGATTTTCGTGAGCGAGTGTTTGCTCAAAGCGATTTCTCGCGTTAGTTTGCGGACTGGGCCTCGGGAGACGAAAGGATATTTTTCATTTCAACAGAGCTTTACCAAGATCTTCATTTCAGGTCTAATCGTGCAGATGTGCTGAAGTTCGATAAACGACAATCGCGCTCCGGGTGGTTGCTAACAAACGAATTATCTCATACGGTATCGCTTGAATGGATATGTTTAAACATTTTGTCGGCATCTCGAAATTGAAATTTGTAGAAAAAATATCTATTTGCATAATTGAATAGTCTGACGCAACTTGTCCGTGCGATTTCTCGTCGTAAAATGCCGAGAATAGTCCGACGTTGCTTAATTTTACGTTTATCCTTTGTATTTTGGGAGATCGCGCCGCGTTCCTGGTGTTAAACACACTGTATTACACTCCTGGGATTAACAGTTACACGCGCGATAATAGTATAATGTTACAATAGAATTACGCGCTAGAGGATTACGTGGCTTAATTAATTAAACAATCAACCATTCGTAGGTAACGAAATGTTACAATTTTGCAGGTAAAGGATGGATCGTGAGCTACACATCCATCTTGCTCGCTATTTTCTGCTGAAAGAATAGACTTTTCCTCCCCCCCCCCCCCGTTTTGTACTATCCAATTTCGCTCAACCAACTCAACTTTATTGTCTCCCGTTTCCATCTTCATTTATCTTCTCCGCCCGACCTTCTCCCTCTAATTTTTATTCGTCCGCGTTCGAAACTTCCGCGTCCCGGTGCCCCGAAAACCTCAAGTGTGAAGTATCGGAAATAAGATTACTCGCGTTATTTCGCGCACGGCGCGCGGCGCATTACATAGTTCCATTATAGCGCGTCAATTAAAACTTCGCAAGTCATTAACTCGCGGAGATTTACCCTCGACGTAGAGTAACGACCCCCTTCTCTATTTAGTCCCGCGCCGATTTACGCTCACCCCCTTTCTTTTCGACCCCCATCCCCATTTATCTCATCTGGGGCCTC